CGTGTGGCAGGTCCTGTCCAGGCAATGCGGGGGGGCAAGGCAGCAGGGCCAGTCTATCGGGCACCTTTGGCCTCCGAATGGCCCCATCTAGAGCTGGGTTCTGTCCCCAAACTGCTCCTTCCCCACCTTTCCCATCTCGGTCATCACAGTTCTTCTAGGGGTCCTGCCAACATCTCAAGGTTGTTTTTGACCTCTCTCTCTCCTGCACACCCACATCCAAACTGTTACACAGCGTCTCGATGCCACCTACGAAATCCATCTAGAATCTAGACCCTTCTCCCCAACTCTGGCAGGGCCCCCTCCTCTCCCACAAGGACACCCCAGCAGCCTCCTCCCTAGTCTCTTGCTCCTGCCCCCACGCCTGGGAGCACCTGAGTCATGGTGGGACCTTCCAGGAGGGCTCAGCGCCCCACCTGTGTACACATCAGGTACAAGCTAAGTCCTCACCATGACCCATGACCTGTAAGTCATTCCTCTATCTGGTCCCCCATCATCCCTCTGACCTCATCACTTTCTTCCCCTCAGTTCCTCACTCACTTGCTCCCTCACAGCTTCCACCACACTGGCCCCTGCTATTCCTGCCTACCGCACCCACCCCCAGGTCCTGTGGTGCCAGGCATCCGCCCAGCCCAACTTTGCAGTAGCTACTCCCGCTCCATGGCTAGCTTGTTCCCAGAGGTCCACGTGGGTCCCTCCCTTGCATCCTATAGACCTTGGCTCAAATGCTACCTTCTCAATGAAGGGTCCTTACCTGCCTTATTGCTGATTGTAAACTGCCTTCTCTTGCTCCCCAGGTCTTTCTCTTCTGTTTATGTTTTCTTATATTTCTTATGCCTACCATCTGATGTACCACATATTTTACATATTCAAAAGTAAATATGAGGGGGAACCAGCAGTTAGCGTAATGGCTATGTCGCTGGATTCCCACGTAGTTGACCGCGGTTCGTGTCCCGGACCCGGTGGCTTAAAAAACTCACGCTGGGCACGTGTGCGTGCGTGCCCAAGATCCCGAGAAGAGAATGGAGGAGAAGGGATTGCGGCGTGACCATCCCCCCTGGGGGGGTGATTTCTCGCTT